GAGCACGTCCAGGGCAGCATCTGTTAACTGAAATATATCAATTGGTATACCATCTATTCCTGGAGCCTTATTTTTGGCCATGTCCTTCAAAGCAGCTTGAACTTCTTCTTTCATAACCATAGGCTCTTGCTCATATGTTGTTTCATGAAATTCTTCTGTTCCAACAGACAGATGCTGTTGTCCTGGTTGTACTCACCAAGTATCTGGAAGACAACTGCCTGGTCAACTGACTAGAAGAGATTCATATTTATTCCCATTCCAAAAAAAAGGGTGACTCAACAGAGTGTGGAAGTTATCTAACAATATCACTGATATCACACACCAAGCAAAATCCTGTTGAAGATTATCCAAAAACTATAGGAACATCAACAGAGAACTTCTAAAGACACAGGCAGGACTTAGAAGAGGCTGTGGCACCAGAGATATTATCACCAATATCAGCTGGATCTTGGCTGAAAGCAAAGAGCACCAGAGGAATGTCTCTGTTTCAATGACTGTGCAAAGGTATTTGACTGTGTAGATCACAACAAACTGTGGCTAACCTTGGGAAGAATGGGAATCCCAGAACACCTGATTGTGCTCATGTGAAACCTATACTTGGACCAGAAGGCAGCTGTCAGAACAAAGTAAGGAAATACTCATTGCATGGTTCATAATTTAGAAAGAAGTGCATCAGGAATGTGTATTGTCTCCATACCTTTTTGATCTATATGCAGAATAGATCATTTGGGAGGCTGGACTTTATGAGGAGGAATGTAGCATCAGGATAGGAGGAAAACTCATCAACAATCTACATTATGCAGATGACAAGCTTGCTTGCTGAAACTGAGGAGGATCTAAAGCATTTGCTGAAAGCTAAGGATTGCAGTCTTTAATAGATGGAGAAGAGAGTGAGGTCGTTAACAATTTCAACTTGCTCAGATCCACAGTGAACATTCTTGGCTCCAACAGCTAAGAACTCAAAAGACTAACTTCTCTAGGGAATGTTGCTGTCAGGGACCTCTCCAAAGTACTAAAGAGTCTAAGAGACTAAGGTGTGCCTGATTCAGGTCATGGTATTTACAACTACTTTCCATGCCTTAAAGAGCTGGAGAATGACTTAGACATGACAGAAGAAGTCTTTGAGTTGTGGTGCTGGAGAAGACTTTTGAACAGAGCATGGACTGCCAAAAGAACAAATAGGTTTATCCTAGAGAGGGTGAAACCAGGCTGCTCCTTGAAGGCAAGGATTTTGAAGCTCTGTCTCACATGCTTTGGGAATGTGGCTAGGAGGGATCAGTCCTTGTAGAGGAACATCATGCTTGGAAGGGTGGAGGGAAAGCACAAGAGAGGAAGACCCTGGATGAGATGGATTGACACAGTAACTAGGATAATGGGGATAGGTTTGTTACTGGCTCAGGATAGGGCAAGGTTCAGAGCTTTGGTACATAGGGTCACTATGAGTCACAGGAAACTTGACAGCACATAACAATAAAAACAGCAATTCAATAACAGTTTACTTATAAAAACAGGATGATAGTTAGATTTGTCCCCGAGCACAGACTCTCAGAATACACTGTAAGAAGCACTGACTGAATTCCACTGAAGTTTGCTGCTGTTACGTGCCATTGAGTCTGAACCGACTTGCAGCTGACTCTCCAGGAGGTTTTCAGAATCTGTAAATTGCATGGGAAGAGTTTGCATCTTCCTCTTTCAGAGCAGCTGGTGGATTTGAATTGTGTGCCTTTTCACTGGCAGTGCCACTCCTTACCACTAAGACACCAGGGTGCCTGATGAAGCCTAGAAGAGGTAAGAAAGGGATCTTCTAAGGTCACTCAGGGCTACTTACAGAACCAAGAAAACCTATGTCCCCACACCCAAATCAATGCACTTCTTACAATTCCACGTAGCTATTCCTTGTGAAAGTTCAGGGCATGGTTCTGTGGTGCACTACCCTGGTCTCACCTTTATGCTTGGGCTGTGTGTGTGTGTGTGTGTGTGTGTGTGTGTGTGTGAGAGAGAGAGAGAGAGTGCGCGCGCGCGCGCACTCATGTATGTGTGCGAACCTGTGCATGCACAGGGCTCTAAGACCATTGATGTCATTACGGTTTCCCTAAACCTTCTTGTTCAGAATCACCTCTAAAGGTCTTAAGGCAAAGATGCTCAAGTGCCATCTCTATCTTCCTAGATTCTCCAGGTGTGGGCTCCAGGGATTCTAGTCATCAGCTAGGTTCATATACTCCTGGGTGCTAATCAGAGAGGCTTCACCTGGAGAACCAAAGGAAAAGAAGTCTAAGAGTTGAATAGAGGAATGGCAGTCTGCTTGGGATCAAGGCAGAATTCAGGACATGAAAAAATATTCAGAACAATAATCATGCAAATAGTTTTTCCAAACACACTTCTTCAACTGAGCCTTTGCCATTGCAGGCTGGCACTGGGAGACCAGCGGTCAGGAGCTAATTTCCTTCTTCCTAGGGGTTCTGCCTGCATTTCAGGATGCTATCACCAGGTACATGGTGCCCGGAGCCCCATGGTCAAACAGGCAGGCTTCTCACGATGGCATGACACACAGAGAAAAAATGAGCTGATGGTGCACCCCACCAACTGCTGTAATTCACTGTCACGAGGCAAGTTCACAAACCAGCATTCCACAGTCACCCCCAGTCAAGCTCCACTGGGAGCTGGGAACATACGCCATTGATTTGACATTTCTTACAAGCCTCATCTTCTATTTCAGATTTTATATGCATTCCACATTCTGGTGGCATGACATTTGTTTTTCCTATTGTGTTAAAATACACACAACAGATAATTGCTATTTTAGAAGACACAGAATTAATACAAATTAGAACTGAAGAGGATTGTATTGGTTTGGATTGTATTCATTTCTCTTTATGATTGAGTTATATTCATCTAGGAGCTCTGGTTGCATAGGCCATGCGGAGTTGTGTTGCTAACCCAACAGTTGTCTGGCAGTTCCAATACACCAGGGTTCCTCACGAGAAAAATGGGCAATCTCCTCCTGTCTGAGTTACAGCTTCCACAAACCCACTGGAGGGTCAGCTATGAGCCAGTTCCAACTCAACAGCAATGAGCTTTGAATGAAACTCAGAATAACCATTGCTTTATTATAGACAACTGGTCTGCACATTGCTGTACAGAGGTAACTCGAGGGTGCTGTGATGCTGAACACGGTGACAGTGATGTGCTAAACGTGGTAATGGTTACTCATGGTGGACAGTGTTTGCTGGTGCTTCCCGACTAAAACAAGCCTGGAAGCAGGAGTGGCATCCACTTCCAAAATGAAACTCTATGTACAAACAGTGCTCAGGCCTCTCATTCATAGTGTCGCTATGAGTCGTCTACGACTTGATGGCACCTAACAACAACAACAATAGGTCAACCAGATATCTCCAATTATTTAATCCCCTCCACCCCATGAGCTAGTCCCACCAAGAAAATCAATCATCAACAAACATTCAATTGCTCTCACTAAGTTGCATTATTTCAGAGATCTGGTATCTTAGTTGATGTAAAAAAGAGATGTTGATATTTTTGCTAGCCTTCAGCTAAAAGAAAGCATATCCTATAACTACAGGCAGAAACCCATAACACAGTTTCCTATAAACTTCTTCCTTTTATTTCCCTCAGATTTCATATAACATTCTCAATATCTTAAAATATTATTTATGTTCATTATTGCCTTGAATCATGGTAGTTCTTGAACATACAATGGACTGCCAAGAAAACAAATAGGTCTGTCTTGGAGAGGATGAAACCAAGTCTCTCCTTGGAGGCTAGGATTTTGAAGCTCCATTTCACTTCTTTTGGACACATGGGCAGGAGTGATCATCTTTGGAGAAAGACATAATGCTCGGAAAGGTGGATAGACAGCACAAGAGAGGGAGAACCCGGATGAGATGGATTGATACAGGAACTGGGGTGATAGAAGTAGGTGTGTCAGAATTAGTGAGACTGGTTCAGGACAGGAAAGGATTCAGAGCTCCTATACATAAGGTTGCTATACATCACAAGCAACTCAATGGCACAATGGAATACTATGCAGCACACAGGAGCAATAATTTTGCAAATTATTACCTAACTTGGTAGGGACTGGAGAGCATAATGCTGAATGAACTAACTCAGTCCCACAAGTATAAATATTGTATAAGACTGTTATTATAGAATGAGTATAAGGATTCAGGAGGGGTGGGAGAGGCTGGAAGCAGAGGGATGTGGATGTACAGGGGGAAGAGGGGATTAATCACTGGGTTGTGCAATTTGATGGGTGGAGGGGTGAGGGAAATTGAAAGATTTGTTTGAATTTGTATTGGAATTTTATAAACAAACTAGTGAAAAAAATAATCTTCATCAGGAAAAAAACCCCAAAACACAATAACATACTATGACAGGTTTGGAAACAGGAGTAGCATCCACATCCTAAATAATATCCCTCTGGAAACTCTATGAATTTTCATAAATGTTGATAATTGTAGAGAGGATTCAGGTCTTTTGTTCATAGGGTCGCTGTGAGTTGTGCTTGATTTGAAGGCAATCAACAACAGAACAACAACATCATGTCACAAATTGACCCTTTTTAATGTTTTAATAACTACATCAAAATACCTATTTTCTTTTGAATTATTGTATGCACTAAAATGATTATTCTGAGAAGGGTTCCAAAGGTTTCTGTGGCCATACTGTTGACCCTCTGTGAATGACACACAGTCATGCAGGAGGCTTCCCAAGGGTGGCCTGGGACCTTGGCCACCAGGCAGTATCTCTTACCTGTGGGTCAGAGAGTCGGGTCAGGTCAGGGTACAGGTAGAACTTGATGCCTTCTGAGGCCCCGGGCAATGTTATCCCTCGGATGAGGAGAATCAGAAGCATGATGTAGGGAAAAGTGGCGGTGACATAGACTACCTGCCAAGGATAGAAAGGAAGGAATTAGAAAAGAGCACCAGAAACAGTAAATCTCACCTGGAGGCCGAAGGAAAATAGAAGTTTCCCACATCCTCAGCAGCCTGGCCTTCTATCCCACCTCCCATCCTTTCATCCCCAATGCTGGCTCTTCAACAGCTTCCATGGAGCACCTACTGTGCTCCCTGTACAGTGCTTGGGATCAATAACTTTCAAACATTTGTGATCAGAACCCACAAAAAAAGAAATATATATTGTATCACAAGGCACCGCTTTTCTTAAGCTGAAGGAACTGACGAACAAATTCAAGCTTTGAGTTGCAATATTCAAGATCCTTTAGACAGAATACTTAATGATCCAGGAAGCATTAAAAGAAGATGGAAGGAGTATACAGAGTCACTGTAACAAAAGGAATTGGCTGACGCAGAAAAATGTCATGAAACAATGTATGAGCAAGACTTGTGGTGAAGAAGGAAGAAATTCAAGCTGCTCTGAAAGAACTGGCAAATAATAAGGCCCCGGGAATTCATGGTATACCAATCAACATAGTTCAACAGACACTGCCGTGGACATGCTCACCAAGTTGTGCCAAGAAATCTGGAGGACAACCATCTGGCCAACTGACTGGAAGAAATCTATATTTGCTCCCATTCCAAAGAAAGGTTATCTAACAGATAGTGGAAATTATTAAACAATACCATTAACAAATAAGATTCTGCTCAAAATTATCCAAAAATGACTGGAACAGCATATCAACAGAGAAGTAGAAGTGTAAGCTTAGTTTAGAAGGGGTCATGGTACTAGGGATATTATGGCTAATGTTAGATGTATCTTGGCTGAAAGCAGAGAGTACCAGAGGAATGTCTGTGTTTCATTGGCTATACAAAAGCATTTAACTCCAGATCACAACAAACTGTGGCTGACTCTGAGAAGAATGGGAATCCCAGAACAATTGATTGTGCTCATGTGAAACCTATACTTGGACTAGAAAGCAGTTGTCAGAATAGAATAGAGCAAGAAAACACTACATGGTTCAAAATTGGGAAGGGTGTATGCCAGGGATGTGTCCCATCTCCATACCTTTTCAGTCTATATACTGAACTGATCTGGGAGGCTGGGATCTATGAGGAGGAGGAATGTAGCATCGGGATTGGAGAAAGACTCATCAACAACCTGTGTTATGCAGATGGCACAACCTTGCTTGCAGAAACTGAGGAAGACCTGAAGTGCTTACTGCACAAGGTCAAGGACTGCAGCCTTCAATATGTATTGAAGCTCAATATCAAGAAAACATAGTTTCTCTCCACTGTGCAGGTTGTTGGCAGCATTACGATAGCCAGTAAAGAGAATGAGATTGTAAACAGCTTGCGTTTGCTTAACTCCACAATCAACACTCTTGGTATAGGCAGCCAGGAAATCAAAAGACAAATTGCACTGGGAAAGTCTGCTGTCAGGGACCTCTCCAGAGTGCTGAAAAGCAACAGTGTCATTCTGGAGACTAAAATGTGCCTGATACAGGCTGTAGTATTTGCAATTACTTGCTATGCATTAGAAAGCTGAACAATGACTAGATATGAGAGAAGAAAAGTTGATGCTTTTGAGTTGTGATGCTGGAGAAGAGTATTGAATATATGATGGATTGCTAGCAGAACAAACAGGTTTGTCCTCGAGAGCGTGAAATCAGGCTGCTTCTTGGAGGCAAGGATTCTGAAGCTTCTTCTGACATACTCTGAGCATGCTGCAAGGAGTAATCAGTCTTTGGAGAAGGACATCATGCTTGGGAAGGTGGAGAACAGTGAAAGAGAGGAAGACCCTTTATAAGATAGATTGATTCAGTGACTGGGTTAATGGGGGTAGGTATGTCAGAGACAATAAGGTTGGCACAGGACAGAGCAGGGTTCCCAGTTATTGTACATAGGGGTCACTATGAGTCTCAAGTGACTTAATGGTACATAACATCATCATAACCCAGTGCACATAAAGCTCAATGAGACATTTCACAAAACAATGGATGAGCATACTTCCATGAAAGACATGCTTCAATATTTTTGTTGCACTTGATTTCATTTTCCTTATAAGCCTGTCATGACCAACTACATCTATTTCATAATTAACCAATGAGTCTAAGTCAACTTTTTTTAAAAAGCACTGCTCTTAAGGAAAACGTTGTTTTCATAGACAATACAAAAGGATGGGAATGTGCATGGCAATGGGAATGAAGAAAGGAGAAGGATAGAAGTGAGGTGTGGATGGGGAGAGGCTGAGTGTGGGGAGAGACATGGGATGGGTGTGAGGGTCCGCAGTGGGCATGAATGTGATGGAAGTGAGTAAGGAAGTGAAGAGGGGAAGAGAACAAAGGACAGGAGGAGAAAGAAAACATACTTAGGGAATTAAATAGTCAGCATTTGTCTGGAAGTATCTCAGGGGGTTCTCCATGGAAGTAAATTATCTGAGTAGAAAGTGGCTTCTTAAAACCTGGGGAGCAGTCATCTAAGGTTAACTATTAGTCATTCACTGTCTGGAGCAAAAAATGAGAGAACAAAAGCAAAAACCATAGAGAAATAGTCCAAAGGACTAACAAGCCATGAGAACCTCAATTTCCACATGCAGAAGAATTAAATTATCCCTAGATATTACTGCTGGACGCTCTGAAAGGGATCACAGTAAATGATGCCAGATATAGTGGAAGAAAATACAGAACTGGAAAGCATCAGGAAGGCCTTTAGTCAACCTTTGAACCTAGGGGAAAAACTCAGCTCTCTGGCTCAATTTTCAAACAACAGACCAATGAGATGAAAACCAGAGATTACTAGCTACATTTGTTCCATGGGAAAGCCCAGGAGTTAGAAAGAGGAAGAATAGAGGGATTAATGGAAACGAGAATTGCAGAGAAAAAGTAGGAAGAGGGTAGTTATACTCTGGTGGCCTAGTGGCAAGAAGCTGCACTGCAATCTTGAAGGCATAGGATTCGAGGCCACCAGGTACTCATGGGAGAAGGCTGGGCAAGCTTTTCCTGTGTGATTAACTGCCTCTGAAAACCTACCAGTCAGCTATGGATCACTTCTGACTCTATGATACACAACCACCACCACCACCACTAATGTTATAAAACAAAATGTATATGAGTATTTGAATGGCAAAGCAGTGTGGTTTGTCAACTTTCACACAAAGCACAATAATTAAAAAATTAGCTCCATGATTGGGGGAAAAAGATTTGCAATCAGATAAAGAGAGTAGTGGATATGAAGATGAAGGTGAGGAGTACAGAGCAGGGGTGGTCATGCAAGACTTTCCAAAGGAGGTGACCCAGCTCTGAGCTCTGAGAGGATGAGTAGGGTTTCCAGAATCAGAAAATGGTGACATGAAGGAGAGACATAACTCCATGAGGGAATTCTGGGGCCTAGTAAGAAAGAGGGGTCCTGCTACCCCAAAGGTTGCACCAAATCTCTTGCAGTTTACAGCTCCCAAAGAGAAAGAGTATACATGTAAGACAATGGTCCAGAATAAGAGGTACATTGCAAAGAGGAGGGGGGCAACCTGTGCAACAAGGAATGAATATTGAAAAAAAAGAAAATGAACTTGGGGGGCAGGAGGGAGAGGGAGTCAAATGTGCAACAAGGAATAAATGAAAAGCCAACTTTTTTGTAAACCTCTGTTAAAATCACAATGAAAATATTTTTTTTAAAAAAAGATAATAAAAGATGAACAGTCCTCTTTCCATGTTATTTACAGCCTCAGAGACCCAATGGAGTCAGGTCTTAATCAGCATCAATGAGTTAGTGTTAGAAAAAAGAGTGGAGAGCAAGAGAGAAAGAAATAAGCTGGCCCCAAGAAATGAACAGGACTTAATTACACGTTCTGAGAGAAATGCCAAGTGACTAAGCAGAGAAGGTCAAAATGGTAAATGGGCAGTCAAGGGCAGTTTCTTTTCATAGGAGTTTTAGGGAGAATTAGAGAAGATGGTATTTTGCTAGGAATTTGGAGCTGTTAATTAACTTGGGTATGTGCTTTTGGGAATAGGTCTAGAACCTTATCAGGAACCATTGTCTGGTGTGGTTGCTTTAGACATTATCAGGTTTCTTCAAGTAGTGATCAGGGCTGGGGGCAACTGCGATATTCTTCCTTCAGTTTGAGTTATGAGTTGTGATCATATCTTATAATGATAAGCACTGTACACATTAAGTTACAAATTACAAATGAACAATGAGTAAGTATATTTATTTACTTCTATATAGAAAGCAAAAAATCATTACACAGAGAGGAGAGAAAGAAAAGATAAAAACAGATGTCAGCTTCACAATATTGAGTCCATGGTCTTCGCAATCACTTGTTATGCATCAGAGAGTTGGACAATGACCAAGGAGGATAGAAGGAGAATTGATGCCTTTGAGCTGTAGTGCTGGAGAAGAGTATTGAGAATACCATGGACTGCTAGGAAAACAAACAGATTTGCCCTGGAAAGTGTTAAACCGAATGGCTTCTTGGAGGCAAGGACTCTGAGACTCCATCTAACATACTTCGGACATGTTGTGAGGAGAGACAGAGACCGGTCCTTGGAGAACGACATCATGCTTGGGAGGGTGGCGGGACGGCGCAGGAGGGGAAGGCCCTCTATGAGGTGGATTGATTCAGTGACTGGGATAATCGGGATGGGAGTGTCAGAGACAGTGCGATTGGCACAGGACAGAGCAGAGTTTAGGGCTATTGTACATAGGGTCGCTATGAGTCGCAGGCGACTCAACGGCACATAACAACAACACAACATCCATGAACAGGAACATTTCCCCCACTTATTTAGATCTTTTTGTGTGTCTCGCAGAAATGTTCCGTAGTTTTCTTTGTATAGGTCTTTTGAGTCTTTAGTTAGGTCCACTCCCAAGTATCTCAATGTGTGGTTGGCTGTTGTAAATGGTACTGCTTTCTTGATTTCCTTCTCTGAGTTCTCATTGTTACAGTAGAGAAATCCCGCTGATTTTTGAATATTGATCTTGTACTCTACCATG